CACACACACACACACACACACACACACACACACACAGATTTCATACAAGCCAGGAATAGGTTTCCACTTTTGGAACCTCCAAAACCTTTCCCCGCCTGGGGGGAAGTCGTTCATCCCTCAGGCCTGGCCACTTGCCCTCTTCCTGAACCAGTACCAGCTCTTTCCCCTCCTCTTACGGAGCAATTCCAACATCGTTTCTCTGTGACCTAATCCTCAAGATAAAACCGGGAGGGGGAGTGGGGACAGTGAGGAGGGTGGGGGGGTCTTCTTTAGGATGGTCCCTGAAACACCAAGAAGCTGTTAACCAGTGTTTGGTGTTGGGGGTTGGGCGTGGAGTGAGGGAGATGTCAGAAGAGCTTAAACCTTTTATAACTCAAGACTATAGCTGTTTCTTGGGATGGTAGACCCTGAGGGAGAAATTACCTTTTTATTCTTTCTAGTTTCTTACAACAGCAGGAACGAGACTGAAATTAATGTCTCAATACATTAGCCTGCTAAGAGTTTTAAAAAGAAAGAATTTATATCTGTCACATATGTTTTAGGTTGAATTTAAGTGAACGTATTATCTCTTCAAGGGGTATTAGCATGTTAACCTTATGCATAGCGTGAAAGATCTTTCCCTGTTCATTTGAGACATCAGTAATAAGGTGGGGAGAGTATTCAGCGAGGAGGAAGTATTGAAATGACATTGCATCAGTACTCTATTACCACTTAACAAATTACCCCAAAACTCAGTGGCTTACTACAACAATATGCATTTATTGTCTGTCATGGCTTCTGTTGGTCAGAGATTCAGATACCACTTGGCAGGCAATGATGGCATGCAGGTCTCCCATGCTGTTGCAATCATATGTCAGGTGGAGGTACAGTCACTGGAAGGCTTGACTGGGGCTAGAGACTCAACTCCACAGAGGCTTGCTTACATGGCTCACCCTTGCAGCTGACTGATGGCAGGAGGCCTTGGCTCCTCTCCATAAAGGCCTCGCCACAAGACTGCTTGAGTGTCCTCACAGCATGGTAGTTGACTTCCTTTAGAGCTAGAGATCCAAGAGAGAGCAAGGCAGAAGTCACAATGACCTGGCTCTCCAAGGTCACACCTATTATCTCCACCTTGGTCACATGGACCAGGCTTGATTCAGTATGAAAGAAGACCACACAAAGGCATGGATACCAGAAGGAGAGGATCATTGGGGGCCATCTTGGAAGCTATCACACACATCTTCTTTGAAATCACATCTATTTCTTAATTTTGAAAAATTTCAAACATACACAAAAGTAGGGAAAATAGTGTAATGAACTCCCATATACCCATCATCCATACTCAGTAATTATCAGGGAATTCCCTCATTTTATTTTGTATAAGTATCCCTGAGGAACACATACTCTTCCCACCCCATCCCCCATATCCTATACTAACTTTCCTCAGACCCCATGTTCCAGGTTCTTTCTTTCTCTCCCTTTTCCCCTTTGTGCTTAAGGGATGGAGGAGAGACAGATACAAAGAAAGAGGGCCCCTTATGCTGGACACCAGTCTCAAGTGTGGGAGTCCGCAATTTGGAGAGGTCATCACAGATAGGGACCTCAGTCAATCCTTTTTTTTTCCCCCCAGCTCATCCAGAAGTAACCATGCCATTTTCAAATTTTAATGTGCATATGGATAATCTGGGGATCTTGTTAACATACAATTTCTGAATCAAGAGGCCCAGGGTGGAGAACCTGAGAGTCTGTATTTCTAACAAACTAATAAGGTGATGCAGACCCTGCTAGGTCACAGACCACACTTTGAGTAGCAAGGGTCTAGAGCTGTGCTGTCCAAATCGGTAGCCACTAGCTACATGTGGTCATTTAAATTAATTAAAATTAAATAGCATTGTAAATTGCCTCTTCAGTTTCGATACCACATGTGGCTAGCTAACCCTATTGAACAAAATCATGGAAAGTTCCATTGGATGGCACTGGCATGGGGAATTGACTGATGCTAACTCTCTCACAGCTGCTTTCTAGACCAGAATAACTATTAATTCACAACAAAAAGGAGACCTTGGTAGGATAAACAGGTTATTTATAGTGGGTATGTATATCCTCTTGCTGGAATGGATCAACCCAGTGTTCCTAAATACAATTTTGAAGGTTGTTTGGTCAGCTCAGCATTTGAGCAAAAGAGGCTGGATATGTCTACCAGCTTATGAGACTAGATAACTTAGTTTTCTCTATTCTACAAGTATTTTTTTTTTCTTTTCTCAATAGCTAGTATTGGCCATCAGAATCAGAACTGGAGAAGACTGGAGGAAGACACCCTATTAAGAAGCTATGTTTGACTCTGCTTTAAAGACTCCATGGGACTGGCCACCCTTCTTTAGGACAATGTGGTCTAATTTTCTGGACACACTTAGGTGTTCCTTTCTGTGATTCCATTAAAAAATTTTTTTCGTTAACGTTTATTCATTTTTGAGAGACAGAGAATGAATGGGGGAGGGGTAGAGAGAGAAAGAGAGAGAGAGGGAGACACAGAGTCCGAAACAGGCTCCAGACTCTGAGCTGCCAGCACAGATCTCAACATGGGGCTCAAACCCACGGACTGTGAGATCATGATCTGAGCCAAAGTCGGATGCTTGGATGCTTAACTGAGCCACACAGGCGCCCCTCTGTGATTCCATTTCACATCGTGTATATGTCCTTGTAGAACTTTTCACCTACTATTTTGTCTGTTTACATGTCTGCTTCCCCATTAGTTTGTAAGCTCCTTGAGAGCAGGGATTTGCCTTAGGTCTGGCCAGTAGTAGGCACTCAAAATATGTTTGTTGAATTAATTAATTAATAATTGCATTAAATTTGCACATTTATTATATGTTAGTCTCAATGCCTTGTGTAGAAGTAAGGATAAGCATAAGGTTTGGGCTTGGACAAGTCGCAGCTATATACTGGCTGTGTGACTTTGGGTATTTTGCTTTCTTCTACCAAATCTCATTCCATTATCTGTAAAATGGGAACAATAATAGCACTTGAACCTACTTCATTGGGTTATTTTGGGGATCAAATGAGCTAACGTTTGTGAAAGGTCTTTATCATTTATAAGTGTTATCTTTTAAAAAACTCCTAGTTTTCTCCATAAAAGTTAGGAGATCCTTCGGTCTTGCTGTCAACATGTGTGTAGGTTACCTTGCCCAATTACCTGCTTGTTCCCATGTTCTAGGGTATTGCCTGTTTGGAGCATTCATTCAGATTTACAAGATCTCCTTCTCTGTTTATCTTTTATAACTTATAAATATTTACAAATTTAAATAATTCAAATTTTTAAAAGTTTTTAATTTTAAATATTCTTATATTTTTTTAATTTTTATTAAAAAAATTTTTTTAGCATTTATTCATTTTTGAGAGCGAGAGACACAGAGCATGAGCAGGGGAGGGGCAGAGAGAGAGGGAGACACAGAATCGGAAGCAGACTCCAGGCTCCAAGCTGCTTGCAGAGCACAGAGCCCAATGTGGGGCTCGAACTCACGGAGTGAGAGATCATGAC